ATCGAGCCTGGTCGAGCTGAGGGTCCCAGGGCCCGCAAACAAGCAAAAGCGCCCGTGGTGACAACATTGCACCGCCATGATCTCAGGGTAAGTCCAGGCTTGTTTGGTTTTCTCCTTTTGGAACTTCCGCCGCCGAGACCTGTCGCGCCGGGGGCGCTCCGTCGGCGGCAGCGCGGCAGACGACCACCCATCCGCTGCCGCGGTGGCAGCGCCGCCGCCACGGGCTGCCGTCCATGGCCTGGTACTCCTCACTTCCTCCCAAGTCCTCCCCAGTCCTCCAATAATTACCCCTCCCCTCCTTCTCCTCCCTATTCTTCTCCTCTCCTCCCCCCTCTCCTCCCCTCACCACTCTCCTTCACATGTTCCCCTCTGGACATCCAGCGCATTGCACGCTCTGGTCGGTCGCGGCATCTTCCCCGTAAGTTCTGCAGGTTGGGGGCAATTTTCAGGCTCGGGTTAATTAAGATGCATCTGGGACGGGAAACTATGCGCAGAGAAGGGGTAGGGAGCCCTGGGGCCTCCCAGCCGTCCTCTCCTTCTTTTTTGCGCTAGCCTCCAATAGTGTCGGATAAGAATGAGGGGGCGGGCGCGTGATGGGTCGCGGGTGGGTCTCAGCTTGCGTGGCAAACAACTAACGATCAGGGAGGCGACTGAGGCTTTCAGGCGCAAGGGTCTGGCCAGCCACCTGCTTGCTTGCTGCTTTTCTCTGGAAGCGGGTGAGGGTGCTGGGGCCCTTTGCTTGCTTGCTGTTTTGCCAGCCTTTGGTTTGGTGCATCTACGGGCCTTATGGAGCACCTTGCGTGGCGTTCTACCCTCCCGAGACTAGACTTTGCCAGGCCTTTGGCGCCCTCTGGGAACAGTGCCCGTCGCGGGCTAGGACGACGATAACAACAGCGCAACAACAATCCACACCGCGGAACCCCACTTCAGCCACGCGCCCGCGAGGGAAGGACGCCATGTAAAACGAGACGTGGAAGAGAGGAGTAACTCATGCGGGTGTCTAGCGGCGTTTCGAATATGAGCATTCTCCCTCTGTTCCTCGCCCTCACCGTGGCCCTCCTGCACTTTTGCTTGTCGGCGAAAAGCGCCGTCCATGGCCTGGTTGACAGGTCCCGCTGTATACGGTCGCGTACTGCCTTGCTGTTTCGCTGTTGCACAAGTGTGCGAGGCCTCCTTCCGACATCCTCATCGTCCTCCTCAAGCAAGCGCAGCATGAAGGCAGAATCCGGCAGAGATAGCTTCCGCCTCCCAATCGCCCTTCTCGCTACCTCCGTCCCCATGGAAGGCGGCACACCAAGTGGCAACGCACCCATGAACCTGGCGGTCCGCCACATGTCACGCCATGGGTGGCACGCGTGCCACTTGCGCCACAGTGGGGGTCCTCAACCCACCCTCGCCTCCGCGCAAAGCTGAGCCTGCCGCGCACCAGCTATGGGCATGCAGAGCGGCCCTGCATCGCGCAGACCCGTCGACCTCATCCCCGCGCAGGGGCGGATTGTCCTCTCCGTCGACCCCCCACTCCTCCCTCCCACCCACGCGCGGAAACGGCTCGTCCTCCTCATCCTCCCCGGTCTTCCCGAACCCTGCAGCCCCCTCAAACCCCACACGCCAGCAACATCTGGTTCAACTGACTCCCACTGCCTCCGCTGGGCGTCTTACCAAGACTATGCCTCAGACAGTGATCGCACTTAGGGGTTCTTACTCAGCTTGCTTGAGGAACTGGATGGGCATGCTGGGGGGCCAGCTGGTGCCCAGTCAATGGGCGCCCGTGGGCGCCTCGTGAGCGCCCAGCGCTGGGGGTATCCGAAGAAGAGCGAAACGGTATAAACATAAACTGCTGGCGGTCCGCGCGGATTTCTTGGATCTGCGCGCCAGGGCGGCGCCCGAGGCGCGGAGCACGAAAAGTTGTTGCATATATGCAATTGCTTCTCCTCCGAGCCCATTCACTTGGCTCCCGTGGGCGCCTCGTGAGCGCCCCGCGCTGGGGGGGCATGCCGGACTTCCCCTGGTGACCGCCCTTTGGACGCCTCGTGCACGTGCGTGGGCGCCCCACGCTGCAGGGGTGTACCGAGGCTTCGCCTGGTGCCCGACCGGGGGCGCCACGCGGGCGCCCCCGCGCGGGGGGGGGGGGGCGAAGCCCCGGCATGCCCCTCCAGAGCGGGGGGGGGCCCACGGGCGGGCACCGGGCCAAACCTCGGCATGCAGGCGCCCGCCCGTGGGCGCCTCGCGCTGGGGGGGCATGTCGAGATTTCGCCTGGTGCCCGCCCGTGGGCGCCTCGCGGGCAGCCGGACAGATTGCACCACGCAGGCTGCGCCACCCAGCTCGCCCCACGGAGCTTGCACCACACAGCTTGCGCCAGCTTGCACCACATGAACTGCACCGCGCAGATCCCACCACGCAGATTGCGCAACCCAGCGTGCGCCGCGTCGCTTGCACCACATAGCCGGCAGCACACAGCTTACACAGCATAGCTTGCACAACGAGCATAGCACCACACATAGAAGAAGAAACACCAGTACCTGTACGACCACCTATACGACCAACCTGCGGGTGATAAGGAGGTTTGGGGGGGAGGAGGACGCGCCGCGGAACGTCCCAAAGGACGCGCCAGGCGACGTGCCACGGGACGTGCCAAGGGAACGTGCTGGGGACAAGCGGTTCGCTCGAGACATCCTGCCAACATACTCATGCTAGACATCCGCCTGGGCGACCTGGGCCCATGAAAAACAAGCGTCCGCTCGAGACATCCTGCCCAAATCCTCATGTTAGACATCCGCCTGGGCGACTGGACACGTGAAAACAAGCGTGTGGCTCAACAACTTCTCAACACATCTACATGCTAGACATCCGCCTGGGCAACCTGGGCACGTGGAAGCAACACGTTCGCTCGAGACATCCTCGAGCGAACCCGTAAAGGAAGATAGAAACGTAGGGCATGGCAACGTTTTCAAGCCACCTGATTGGGCGACGGACAGTTGCACGGCTGAGAGTATCGATCTTGACGTACCGTGCCGAGGGCTGTGCTGTGCTGCGGCGTGCTGAACTGCGATGTGCCATGCCGCGAGTGTACTCTATAGCGTTGTGGATCGAGTCCCCATTTGCACCCGAGTCCTTAACCGAACTGATCTGGATCTTAAGCTCGAGCTGCCTGAGCAAATAGTAGCTGCCCCAGAGCTAATTGACAGGGGGGCACGCCAGGGGGAGGCGCCGTAGAACGTCCCAAGAGGGGTCGTGCCAGGGGACGTTCCATGAGGACGCATCGCGGGACGTGCCAGAAGAACGCGCTACGGAACGTGCCAATGGACGTGGCACAGGACGTGCCAGGGGACGCGCCACGCGACGTGGCAGGGGGACTCGCCATGAGACGCGCCACGGAACGTGCCAGGTTGCAATGCTGAGTGTATCGATCTTGACGTACCGTGTCAACGGCGGTGCTGTGCTGCGCCGTGCTGAACTGCGATGTGCCATGCCGCGATTACGCTCTATAGTGTTGTGGATCAAGTCCTCCGTTGCGTCCGGGTCCTGACCGAACTGATCTGGACCTTAAGTTCGAGCTGCCCGAGCACATAGTAGCTGCCCCAGAGCTAATTGACAGGGGGGCATGCCAGGGGGACGTGCCGCGGAACGTACCAAGGGACGCGCTAGGGGACGTGCCAGGGCCCTGCGGACTCCCACAGCGGCCCAACGGGCAGGAGAAACGCCTGGAGACGAGGCAGGAAACGCGACAGACGACGAGCCAGGGAACGTGCCACGCCGAGCACGTCACGCCAGAACGTCGAACGAGACGCGCCAGGGGACGCGCCAGCGCGCCAGGGGACGCCCCACGGACGGGCGGGGTTGGACCGCAATGCGCTCCACTGCGACAAGCGTTTTGCTCGAGACATCCTCAACACATCCTCATGTTAGACATCCGCCTGGGCGACCTGGACACGTGAAACCCAGCGTCTCGCTCGAGACGTTATCAACACCTCCTCATGCTAGACATATGCCTGGGCGACCTGGACACGTGAAACCCAGCGTCTCGCTCGAGACACTATCAACACCTCCTCATGCTAGACATCTGCCTGGGCGACCTGGACGCGTGAAAGCAAACGTTTCGCTCGAGACATCCTGTCCGAATCCTCATGTTAGACATCCGCCGGAGCGACTGGACACGTGAAAACAAGCGTTTGGCTCAACAAGTCCTCAACACATCCACATGCAAGACATCCGCCTGGGCGACCTGGACACGTGAAAACAAACGTTTCGTTCAAGACAGCCTCAACACATCTTCAACGTAAACCTCCACCTGGGCGACCTGGGCACGTAAAACAAGCGTTTCGCTCAGGACGATCTCAACACCTACTCATGCTAGAAATCCGCCTGGGCGACCTGGATACGTGAAAGCAAGCGTTTCGCCTGACACATCCTCAACACTTCTTCATATTAGACATCCGACTGGGCGACCTGGGCGCGTGAAAGGAAGCGTTTCGCACGAGACGTTCTCCTCGCATCCTCATGTCAGACATCCGCCTGGGCGACCTGGAACGTGAAGCCATCCGTCACGCTTGAGACATCCTCGACAAATCCTCATGCTAGACATCTGCCTGGGCGACCTGGACGCGTGAGAACGAACGTCTTGCTAAAGACATCCTCAGCATGTCCTCATGCTAAACATCTGCATGGGCAACCTGGACGCGTGAAACCAAACTTCTCGCTCGAGATATCCTCAAGACTTGGGCACGTGAAAACAAGCATTTCACCTGAGGCATCTTGAATTTTGGCCCCCAGGAGAGGAACAATCTATGACACAAAACCAGCGCTTCGCTCAAGACATCCTCAACCATTCCTGAAACAGAAATAATCGTTTCGCTCGAGACATCCTCAAACATACTTTCGCCGGCCCTACGCGACCTCGATATCTATCGCAAGTAAGTTCGCCGGCCCTACAGCCGTCGATTCTGGGGTAAACGGCTAAAAGAGAACCCTGGGCTTCAGTCCTTTTCGGGAAACATGATCGACCCACGAACCCGGAAAGGAAAATAGGAATGTAACGCATGGCAGCGTTTTCAAAGACACCTGATTGGGTGACGGGCAAATGCAAAGCTGAGTGTATCGATCTTGATGTACCCTGCCAAGGGCTGTGCTGTGCTGCACCGTGCTGAATTGCGATGTGCCATGCCGCGATTGTGCTCTATAGCGTCATGGATCGAGTCCTCCTTTGCATCCGAGTCCTGACCGAACTGATCTGGATCTGAAGCTTGTGCTGCCTGAACACATAGTAGCGACACCAAAGCTAATTGGAAGGGGGGCGTGCCAGGAGGACGCGCCGCGGAACGTCCCGAGGGACGCGCCAGGCGACGTGCCAGGGGACGTGCCATGGGATCGCACCGCGGGACGTGACAAGGGGACGCACTACGGAGCGTGCCAATGGACGTGCCACAGGACGTGCCAGGGGACGCGCCACGCGACGTGCCAGGGGGACTCGCCACAGGACGCGCCACGGAACGTGCCAGGGAACGTGCCAAGTTGAATGCTGAGTGTATCGATCTTGATGTACCCTGCCGAGGGATGTGCTGGCTGCGGCGTGCTGAATTGCGATGTGCCATGCCGCGATTGTGCTCTGTAGCGTCGTGGATCGGGTCCTCCTTTGCATCCGAGTCATGACCGAACTGATCCGGACCTTAAGCTCGAGCTGCCTGAGCACATAGTAGCGGCCCCAGAGCTAATTGACAGGGGGACATGCCAGGAGGACGCGCCGCGAAACGTCCCAAGGGACGCGCCAAGCGACGTGCCAGGAGACGTGCTATGGGGACGCACCGCGGGACGTGCCTTCAAGGGGACGCGCTACGGAGCGTGCCAATGGACGTGCCACAGGACGTGCCAGGGGACGCGCCACGCGACATGCCAGGGGGACTCGCCACAGGACGCGCCACGGAACGTGCCAGGGAACGTACCAAGTTGCAATGCTGAGTGTATCGATCTTGATGTACCGCGCCGAGGGCTGTGCTGTGCTGCACCGTTCTGAAGTGCGATGTGCCATGCCGCGATTGTGCTCTATAGCGCCATGGATCGAGTCCTCCTTTGCATCCGAGTCCTGACCGAACTGATCTGGATCTGAAGCTTGAGCTGCCTGAACACATAGTAGCGACACCAGAGCTAATTGGAAGGGGGGCGTGCCAGGAGGACGCGCCGCGGAACGTCCCAAGGGACGCGCCAGGCGACGTGCCAGGGGACGTGCCATGGGATCGCACCGCGGGACGTGACAAGGGGACGCGCTACGGAACGTGCCAATGGACGTGCCACAGGACGTGCCAGGGGACGCGCCACGAGACGTGCCAGGGGGACTCGCCA